TCACTGATTAATCCATAACTCGCTAATTATACGACATAAATCATCCAAAATCAATAAGCTTCTGGTCCGAGATACGAGAAATGCACATGCAAATATGGAGCAGACTGCACTTGATTTGCAGTGCACGTCCCCGTGTAGCTCTCCTAAAACTCAACCCAGCTGATAATTAATAAATCAACACACACTTGATGGAACGTTATAATAAAAGAAAAAGTAGCACACAGCAGAATATAAATTATTTTCGGTTAAAATGTTTCAGCCATGAAGGATCTCCAAAATATTCAGGTTCTGTAAAATAGGAACCAAACAATAGTTATGAAAAAACACGGAGCCACATTGGTATTGTGGAAAGGCACCACATTACAGAGAAAAAATCTTATATACTCATATACTCATCTTATATATCTTATATACTCATATTTGTTGAATATTTAAGGATATACCAAAAATATAGCAGGATTCTTCCTCTCTTCTAATCTAAGTGAATACCTTGTCAGGAGTGAAGTTATGAAACAGGCCATTTAACATCATAAAGGTATTTGAACATTACTAACAAGACATGATAATACCTTTTATCGGAAACTTATGCTTGTTTCTTTCCATGTAATCCATAGAATATTTGACTTTTCCCATTCTATGCCTCAACATTATTTTCTGTGAAAAATATCCAAGCCATATTCCAAAACTGGCCAAAATAAAGCATTGGGGTATAACACCTGTAGCAATAAAAATAAATTGTGAAAATCAAAGGATCAAAATTTACTCAAAATAGTACAAAAATATCCAAAGATTGTGTTAGAATATTGGTTGTATTTAATGTTCTAAGTGAAATAACTAAGTAATAGCGCGCAAGAGTATCTCAAACATCAAGGATGGCGAAAAATTAAATTGATTATTCCTAATATGAAATATCAAACTAATTCAGCTATTATAGTAACATAACCAGCCTTCATGGCACTAACCTTTGCAGCCCAAACCGAAGCGATGTTAAAAATAAATATGAATATAATATGGATATGAAAATTAATTTGCATTTGGGCCACCAGTTTCCCCATACAGCACATTTTCTTACTTTTTCAAATTTATAAAATTTAAGAAATATACTAACATACCATTCCAGATCTGAAAATTTCAAACTCATTAAACCAAATTTAAAAAGGTAAGCTTTTACATAAATTCTGCAAAAATTATTAGCTTCCATAAGTTGGTCTGCAATTCTCCAATATTCAGAAACAATTGTGATCATTGGCAGCAATTGATGATACATTAATATTGTTTGAGAATAACTCAGCTATTATTAAAAACACACCCAACACTGGTGCAATAAAATAAAATGTGCCATTCAATCATTATGCATTTTGTTGAATCATTATGTTCAAGACAGGATGTCGAATTCTATCATTTGGGAAAATTTGGTGTTATACATTCCAAACTATCAAATAGATATATTGACACGACTTTAAGAAGATTCACTCAATTAACAGTAACTTAGTTAAAGGTAACTTAGCGTGTAACAATTTACCCTAAAAGCTGAAACAATAAAAATTACTTCAATAAAAATGACCCACACATCAGGGCCTGTAATAGATTAGAATAATGCATGACAATATCGGATTATAAATAGCTTCTAAAATAATCCGAGTTACTCGATTAGATAGGAGAGCATTTACACATTTATTCCGGGGGAGGGGAAAGCCAATAAGTCTGATTAACCATATGGCGAACCCTGGCCTCTTGTCTGGTTACCATTCCATGTCAGGTGTGGGATTAGTTATTTGTTTTCGGAATCATGGACTTGATGGTGGAGGACGCCGTAACCGACCAGCGATTATGTGAACCACCCTACGGCGGTGAGAAGTTTAGCAATCCTCTCGCACATAACCATCACCGCATGGGATTCGAACCTGCGAACCCACGCAGAGTGATCAAGAGGTGCGGTGGGGAGCGTATTTCTTCCGCTTAGCATGATGAGCCACAACGCATAGTGCAGAGATTTCTCATATGAGAAATCAGCAGTGAACTTAGTCTGTCATGATGACTTCCAAATTTCTGAATGAATATATTTGACTTGCTTCAAAAAAAATTTCGAATATAATAAGTATTCATACAAGAATCTTACCAGAAAGCAAATGCCTGGATGAAAAGTAGTTGGAGAGTATTGGTGCTGATGCAAAAGTGGTTCCTAATAAAACTGTAGGCGTATTGATTAGTGGGATAGGGTGGAAGGTTTTTCTAAAATCTTCTTCCCTTACTAATATCCCAGGGACTCGATCTTTAATGAAGTCTGGTACTTTCATTGTGCAAAACAAAATGTGGCGACTGAGTGATTTAATGTAACATTTAGTACAGTATAATATTATTTGCTCGGAGCTCCTGAAAAAAGAAAAAATACATTTCAAACTGAACATACAGTGAGATATGGAAATATCTGGAGTACTGGGAGAAAGAAATTTCTACAATTTTCCTCGGATTAATTTTTAATATCAAATCCGAATTAGTATAGTCTAATATAAGTTTATTTTAACTCCATAATCAATAAAAAAAAACAATAAAATGATTGATAAAAATAAATAAACAAAAACTGATTATGAAATCAAGAGAGCAAACAAAACCTTAGTTAAGGTTTAAAACGTACAGAATATAAGATGGAAGGTCTTGCCAAAAAAGTGGTAGGTAGTACCGTACGTGCTCATTAACCTAAAATTATTAAATTAAATCACACACGCTAACATGCACCCACCACACATACACACAACTACAGACAGACAGAGAAATTAACTAAATAAAACACGATAACTTTATGGTAAATTACATAGTAAACAAGAATAATAAAGAAGGGGGAAAAAACTATTTGCCACACCGTATCAATAATTTAGTAATCTGGTAATAGTCGCCACTCGCCACTGCCAAATTGGCCGATATTTTAATCGGGAGTGAACAGTAAAAGTAAGGGGTTTCGTGTAGTTTCGTACCTAACGTACTTCTAATGGGCCTAGCATAACAATTTTTTGATATGTCAATCCTAACCCTATCTGACTACGCCATCCAAAAATTACGTCACTACGACATCACAATCACGTCATACAGCTTGCCAAATATACGCACGATCGCCCGAAATGACATCGAAACCGACGATAAAGAACTGACTCAGTCATCGATCTCTCTCCTATTGGGATCGTTGCGACGAGAAAACGAGAGAAATAACTGTTCCATTTCGGGTGCTCGTCTGAGCGTCTCGGATGTCAGTTCATATAGTTTGAAAGGCTAGAGCCTGTGACGTCGCAGTGACATAATTTTTTGATGGTGTAGTCAGGTGGGGGTTGGGATTGACCCGTGAAAAATTTGTTATGCTACACCCACTAGAAGTATGTTAGGTACGAAACTACATGAGACCCAAAGTATGGTTTAATTTATTTTGCAGCAAAATCATTAACCATGCCTGACAAATTTAACATAATCGAAAATTTTATTGCCACAAAAACAAAATCAACACTAATATAAACAATAATAGATAATAATACAATAAAGAAAATATTTCATCAGTAATAAACAGCGATTGATTATTGGGTGCTCCCGAAGTATGCGAACCAAGATGGCGGACATCGGAACGTAACATGGGTAACAGGTTAGGGTTAGGCGATAATTTTTTTCCAATTTTTCTTATTTTAGTCCTATTATCAGTTCGAAGACTAGCCAAGAGCCTCCCGTAGTATTTATACCTAAAATTATGGCCCAACCCTAACCTAGTACACATATTACATTCCGATGTCCGCCATCTTGGTTCGCATACTTCGGGAGCCCCGATTATTGTTTTGTGCGGGTCGGTGTGCAGGCCCGATTAAGGTCATATAGGCTCCCGACCCTTGTGTAAATGCTGTATATAAGCTTATCATGGCATAATATAGTACCATGGGTAAATGCAAATGGGATTAAATAAAATATATATGAGATAAAGAAATGAGTGAATGTCGAATGAGTCGGCAATTTAAAGTTATCAAAGGGCAATTTAGGATTTTGAGAGGTCATGTACCGATGTAACCGATCACAGGATCATGTCCAATGGAAGAATTAAAACAGTCAAAGATTTAAAAAAATCTTTTTTTTTTATTGGACACAGACCGAGATCAAGAATTGAAAGATAGGGACAAGAAAATAATATCATCACAGATTCAGTAATGAAGTGCATGACGTAAAAGTATCATTTGACTCCTTTTGGCACCTTAATTAGTTCACATGATGAAGCAGGGGAAAAATAATAACAATCGATGAATATTGTTTAATTGCTACCAGCATTCATAAGTATTTATACATACTTGAACGTTATATAACGTTACATCTTCGGTGAAAAGTTAGTTTAATATTTGAATTTCACTAAATTCCCTTGATCTGATCTGAGCCTAAAATCTCAGCGCACACAGTCAGCATTGTTACCGGTACTTTGTACAATTAGGTAGTTTTCAGCTTGACCGTACAACTCGACTCTTTTTTTTTTTAAGGTCCACGTTGTGGATTCATAACAGTTTTGTAAAAATAAATAAATAAATAAATAAACAACTCGACTCTTACAGTATCATACGGTACCTAGTCTACAACTTATAACGTAACGGTAATGCAGTAATGCGACATATCAACACAGCAGCAACAGCCACCGAGAATTCCCGGCTTGCTGTAGACTACCGCATCAAGCTCTCTGCAAAGTGACTATAGTTGTAACGACATGTCAACCTCCTGACTTTTCCTTTCATAGGGACCGGTTTAGTAGCCTAACTAGTGTTGTCAGAGCATAACTGCCAAATCAGAGTGCGAATAAATATATAGATGAGGGAATAGAATATCTAACCTTTTCTACTAATTAGAATTTTATGATATTATACCATTTCATCCAAAAATATTTTCTTTTCAAAAGAAAAGTGTGCGACATATCATCATGATAAAAAATATAAAAATAGTAACAATACTGAATTTACATATCTGGCAAAGCCAACTAGAATGCCACAACATTGCAAGAAGTTTCGGTAAACGGTTCAGGGACTGCCAAAGTAATTCGAATAATATATATAATTCGAATTATATGACTTATTATAGAGTGTAAACTTGACTATATTAGCACATCTAAATTTTTGTAATGTATCGTTGTCGTAAATAAGACGCCTGTCTTTAGATGGAAGAACCACCAAAGATAGTGCGGAAGGCACCGCCTGTTTTGCCGCACGTTGCAAGAGCATTGCAATATGGCGGGCCTCCTGCTTCAGTCGGTGAGTGTGTGTTTTCTTATAATCCGAATGATGTATCCTACGTTTAAATCAATTTGTCTAAAGATGTCGAGAAATCCAAACGGGAATCTTATTATTAACTTCACCAGCGTATGTCGGGTATAGCCTAGGATTAGTTAGCCAGTTATTTGTTTTCACGTGCATAGACTTGATGGTGGAGGAAGCCGTAACCGACCAGCGGTTACGTGACCCACTCTATGACGACGAGGAGTTCAGCAATCTTCTCGCACATAATTTTCCTCGGGATTCGAACTCACGCAGGGAAATCATAGGTGCGGCCATGCGACGGAGAGCGTATTCCCAACGCCCAGCACGATGCGCTACATGGCCGAGCCTGTGATATGTTATCGTTTTCATTACTTTGGCAATAATAACAATGTCGTAGAATCTGCATGTACGCTCTTTTTAAACTCGTCAAACTGAGTCAGCATTGTAGGCAGTGGTGTATCTAGGGTGTGGCAGCCATGGCTCATGCCATGAGCGCCGTTCGAGCAGGGGCGCAAAAACGGCAAAAAGTATTAATAATAATACGTTTTAATGAAATAATTTCAAACTGAAAATAACTGAAACTCGTATTTTTACTCTAATAATAACATAGAAGTATCCTATTTCATTACTGATCATTATAAATTGTCAAAAAACAGTCAAGGGGGCGCATTTTTAGACTTTGCCATGGGCGCCATTTCAAGTAGATACGCCACTGATTGTCCCTTACCTGAATACGTTTCGAGATTTCTCGCGACTCCTGAGTTAGCTGTAAATTTCTGATATATATATATATATATACAATTTTATCTTATCATTCGTTTACGTTGCGTTAGAAAATAAATTATTGATCGATTGATTTTAGCCAACATACTTTCAGGTCCATCCGGTCAAGTTGAAAACTCTCAGCGTTTGCTGCCAAACTTGAGTGTATTTGCTGGAGAAGTTGTATCACAGAATAGATTTCAAAAGGAAGCACTGGATGGGTATAAAATATCTTAGCACTTCTCAAACTCCCTTTTGCTTCGCTTGTTCGTGTCTGTTGTGGGTTAAGTTTGGCTTAGCGTAGTCTCGTTTTAGGAATGACAGTCCAACTCTTCAACGTCTTGTCCCGGCGTCCCGACCGGTCCGCCAAAAGTCCAGCTAGTCGGCATAATACACAAATATTATTAATTAGCATGATCTTGATACCGTCGTTGCTGTGTAGCGCACCGGTAGCCTACTTACTGAAGATGGATGCGTCGTTTTCATTTCGTTGTTTGATACAATTTTACATATTTATCCCCAGGGAGAGGAAAGTGATAAGACGGCTCAATCATATGGCGAACCACAGCGTCTCGTCCGGTTACCAGTTCATGTCGGGTATGGGATTAGTTTGCCAGTTATTTGTTTTCGGAAGCATGGACTTGATGATCGAGGAAGCCGTTTGTACGGAAGACAGCTAACACCGTATCGAGTATTCACCGTTGCCAGTTTACTACATACGAAGGCGGAGTTGACATCTTTTCTACATTTCTTATAAATTCATATCACTAGATTACAGCAAATCCTGAAACAACTTCACTCAGATGTTGAGACTCAAAAGAAAATGTACCAATCATTGTCAACGGAGAGATTGCTATGGGAACAAAAAATTGTTCTTTGCAAGGTGAGTACCCTAATGAAAAACTGTATAAATTTACCTTCGTGATTTCCTACTATACCATCAACAGAAAAATATATCCGACAATACAATACTGTTACATAGGTCCAAATGCCAGTCATCTTTGACTTGCTTTGTTGCGCACCTCTTGGAAATACTACAGACCTGACCGGCGTTAGATCGTGAAATATGTCCGATTGCTTTTTATTTCCTCCAATTTATTTGGGATTGTTCGAAGTTACATTTTTTGTACGTTAGCCTTTTTCAATTAACCATCATGATGGCAATATAATTCTATAAATTAACATTTCTACGTATATATATATATTATAATACTGCATGGTCATTTATTATTGTTGGTGTTATCAATTTTGTTTTTATGAACTGTTTTTATTGAAAAAAATCGACAAATTGAACACTTTTTAAAGGCGAAATTTATTCTTGATAGACTCCAACTTCTGTGAGTGTGGGGAATGAGTAGTCATTTGGCTACAATGGTTCTTGTTTTCAATTCTATTATGATTCTTATGCAGGAAACGGCGATTCATAGCAGGAGCGAAATTAGTGAGGTTAAGTCAGAGCTTCTTGATTTGATGAAAATAAAACAAAAGATATTGGAGCAGATTCAAACAACTGAAATAGATATAAGTAAATGTGAAAATCAAATTAAAAATCAAGTTTGCAAGATGGAAAAACACATTCAAAAGATAGTAAAGGTCAAACAATCATATTACATTTTAGATTTTCACTCTTGAAAAATGTCATATTTTATGATCGTTTTGATCTTTATGAACCCTCATATATTACAATCCCGGTCTTGATGTTTTACAATGTTAGCTTACCTCATGTTTTTAGATTCAGTACGGTAAATTGGTCGCATGATATATATCATATCATTATATCATACGTTGACATTTGGGTTAGATCCTCATTTGTTATGTTACCTATTCTTTCGTGCTGTCAATTACAAGTCCCAGTATCTGAAACAAACAAATGGTTAATATCCGACATGGACTGACAACCAATCGATCTACTCAGTTTTCCTTTTTCAGGAAATGTGAATATCGTATGTGTATATACAGTTCCAAGCTTGTAATCAGAATTTGTCGAAATTTAGATAGAAGAAAAAGGCGAAGTCTTCAGGAAAATTTCCGAGGCGAGGGAAAAACTTTCTCGAGTGCAAGACAACATAAATCAATATGTCACATCAAAGAATATGGTATGGAATTTGAATGTAGAAGTTATCATTCATGAGATAATATCAGTAATGAAGTATATCAGGATTTTTATTACAAAATCACTCAATAAAGATACATCTACAGCATACGATACTCGAAACAAGACGTGGGACCTGGGCGTCATTTTCTAGTAACGTCGACAATATAATACGACAGACATTTATTTTCGGCAAGGGCCTCGCGTAATTTCTGTATAGCTGGACTAACCTAAATGTACGGAAGCGCTACCAATGGCATCAACACTATTGAAAAGCGTCGGCATCTCATCGCCCATATATATATATATATATGCAAGATTGAAATCCAGGTTCTCCGTTTCTTCAGGTGCACCCTGAACTTCCAACATGAATGATTTGTCTCTTATAGACAGGTTTCAATCAAATTCGTTGTAATTACTTATCGCGGTGCTTACTTTTACAAGGCGTTGGAGTCTGCGGAAATAAGATCAGAAATGAAAAAATTAGATGAGGAAAAAATGAAATTAAGTGGAATTTTAGTTCACAAAAGAAATCAAGTGAAAGAAGAGGAAGAAAAAATTTCAAAGAAATTACAAGAACAAGGTACGTAATGAACATAATATTATTAATAATGAAGTTAAAAAAGTAAACATTTGTATTCAAATGCCACACTTTGCATTTAACGAATTTGATAGGAAGAAGTATATGTGATAGCGTGAAAAGAAATTCAGTACCGTTCTGCCAGGGAATCGTTTGCATGTTCACGGCGCTAATATTTGGAATTTTATTGTGTTAGGTGGCAATAACCTACTTCGGCTATGCGGAAGTAGTCGATTGTGATAGGGTTTTCCGTCCAATCTTTTTGTCTTCGCTGACAACCAAACCTTGTTTTAAGGCCCTTCTCATTACCATATCATCTTGAAATAAATAAATTACGAAGACAATGTCGTATCGCAACGAATAAAAGGCGATCTCATTTTGATTTTTTTTAAATATTGATTCTTGCTCGTTTTGTACTGATACAGATGTGGCAAGAAATAAATTTGCGGCGCAAAAGCTGCGCCTTCGTCGCCAGATTGAGAAATCTAAAAACGTACGACAGCAATTGAGAGACGAAGCTGATTCTATCAGAAGGCAGATCAGAGAAATTGCGGACCATTTTCTTCAAAAATGTTAAACCACTACCTAACTCCATTATCTAAGTTTTGGATACATAAATAAAAACTGTTAAGTAAGACCCCAAATCACGAAAACGAATCAATGCTAACAGTCAAGCTTGAAAAAGTGGGTGAGTGGTTGGTCCTGAACTTATTGTGATCGGTCAATTACGGAAAAACAAGGAGATCGATCTCTGAGGAATCTATTAGTTAATAGTTATTCATCAAATTCATGATTTTCGACCAGATCACATTTGTTTTAATTTCACCTCTCATTCAAACGATTGATATCTGATAGCATAGTTGCTCACCTAAAAGATGGGAGCCAATGTCAGACGATGTTATTTCTTATTATTATGTTGTCTTTGTTGGTACAAAATTAAATTTAAATAAAAACTTCATGTATATATTTCCTAAATATTTGGTGTTATAAGGTTCTAAACTAAAATTTGATGATGCGATCTGCTTTGAACAAGTTATATATACGCTTTGTCTTAGGAAAAGGAGAAAACTTTATGCAAATGATTAGATAGACTATAGAGCAGGGATGGCGAACCACTGACCCGCGGGCGACCCACCGCACTTTTTCGGCGACCCGTCATGGTACGAATTAAATAAAAACATATTAACATATTAGTGATAAAAACTGATAAAACAGGCTCTAATGAAATTTACCAATAAGTAAACTATTGTAATGTACCATCAGTTGAGCAGCCAGGGAAGCGATAGCTCAAATTTAAATTTTATCTTTCGGGTCGATATGATAATTTTCAAAACTTCCAATCTTGGACGCACGTCTACACCCGTATACCGTTACGCAGCTATTGGCTGTGACACCGTTTATAACATAATAATACAATTGATCTGTTTATATTTCGCCACGTTTTGTTACAGCGTTCCATTTCGGAAGTGTAAAACCAAAAGGCAGACTGCAGATTGTTTCGGGGGATATACGAGTACTATATGCTACTTTGCATTTTATTGGTATCTCGCCTAAAATGCCGTTGGGAAACAAAATCTTAAGACTTAAAATAAATGCCTAGAAATCTGAAATAACAATGGGACAGTGTGGGAATGAGTTTTTAATTTAGTTTAATCTGGTAAGTGCGAAAAATTACAATCCCTTCGGGTTGCAAAGCCTATCTATATCTGAGTCTAATTGAGGAGGGTGGCGCAATAACCGCTGTCGGTTACGGCTTCCTCCACCATCAAGTCCATGCATCCGAAAACGAATAACTGGCTAACTAATCCCATACCCGACATGGACTGGTAACCAGAGCCGGAGGCCGTAGTTCATCATATAATTGAGCCGCATTATCACTTTCCTTTTCCATGTGATAAATTTGTGAATCCCATCCTAAATCCGATTCGTGCGAAAATTAGATAGGTGGATAGATAGTGGTTGTTCTAATGCATAGGTTCTCAAAGTGCTCTGTGCGGAGCCCCAGGGCTCCGTGAGAGAAACCCAGGGGCTCCTCGAGCTATTCGATTACTTTTCAAAATACTGGCTAATTTTGTAACTGTTCAAAGAAGCAACTAGAATATCGGTTAGAAACCGAAGACTTATCGATCGAAGGTTAGGGGATCCCCCAAAACAGTGGTCTTACTCCATAGTGACACCGTGTGTCCCATCACTAATTAATTAATAACTCGCTAATTATAAGACATAATCCATCCGAAATCACCAGGCTTCTGATCCGAGCTATGATGAATGCACATGCAATATTTGGAGCAGATTCAACCTCGCTTCCGTGAGATATCGCGTGCATCTAACACACAGACATACACACATACAAATACCTATCAACATACTTACCGATCTTAAGATCGATAAGTAATAACAGCTTTGATAAAATCTGACAATAATATAGCTTCGAAATATGGCAAAGAGGCGGAATTAAAAAATGACATTATTTATAAGCAGGAGCGCACCCAGGATTCTTAAGAGGGAGGTGGTTCAAAATTGGAACCGAAAATTTCCGCGCAACATTCTTCGTGATTAAAAAAACGTATAACGAGATTTCTGTTGCGTAAAATATTCAATCCATGACCGATGCGAGCATTTAACGTGTCTCGTCGTGATAATTTAATTGTGCTCATCGTTACTCAGGTTTGATTCGAGATTACTATTAGGATTACTAAAATGAAAGAATACTGTACTATTCTGAAATCGCATAAAATATGTGATAAACTGCCAACTATAAATAAATTGGAGTCGTATTTTTGCGATCTTGGGATTTGTCAAACTTGATTTGTTCTTTCTCATTTGAGATTATTTTCAAGCAAGATATCGCCGTTAAAAATATCACAATGTCTGGGCAAAATGCGAATTGCATTCGGCTCCGTCGGTAGTTTTAGAATGAAAAAAGGGTACATCGCGGATCGCGCGCACAAAATTGATTGCGGGAGGCTCCGTCGGTAGTTTCAAAATGAAAAAAGGTACATCGCGCGCAAAATTGACTGTGTTTCGATTTCGCAGTTACTACAATGAAAACCTAACATAACACCAAATTTTGTGGTTCACAATGTCTATAAAATCGTTTTTCAATCCTAGGTGAGTATGCTAAAACCAAACGTGTGATCTTTCATTTTAAGTTTTAGTTTTAATATTTTAGAATGCCGCTTTTCAATCAAGAAATTTGAGTTGCGGATTTATCTCTTTATTAATTATTATTTTCAGCATTTCTTCGCCGATGACTATAATATGGTAATATGTTTTTCACATTGAACTCATAATTCCCCACGAGAACAAAAAAGCAATTAACGTCGTCACTGTGTAACAATACATGTATATGCCGAGGGAAATTTTTGATTTAGGAAGAAAAAACACCGGCGTAAAAATGTTTAAAGGTTCAAAAACACGCCATGCTGAGGAAAAAAATCGGCGATTGTAACAAAATGCAATCGCGCACATTATTAGCGGCCTTTTAAGTCTTCCAAAAATGTCAAAATGGAAAAGATTCGACCCCTAATTTATTAGTATGTTTGTCAAGTGTCAAATTTACAGCTTTTTTCTCATTTTGCTATCATATATAGAGGACTTGCACGGGTCACGTGACATTGTTTACTGGACGGCAATAAAACAGAAACGTTCATTTGGCTCCTGTCAGTTGCAAGTCGGATTATTCGTTTCCGTTTTGTTTGGCTGTTGAAAATGGTTATTTCGTATTGTTCCGCTGGCTGTACGTATAGTATAGACAACGAAATGGATCTTCAGTTATATTCCACTGTTTTCAAAAGATCCGGAACGTCGCGCAATGTGGATATCATCTATTGACAGGACTGCTTGGTGTCAAGTCCAGAAGCCATCTCACTTGTGCTTCACTGTTTGCGGACAGCACTTCGTTGATGGTGAGTCACTCATAATGTGCCGTTATCAATTTTTTTAATATTCATAAGCTCCCTCATTTCAATTTAAAGCAGATGACAAACTACTGTTATTGGTAGGCCTACTTGCAGATTTGACTCGTGTAAGGTATTAATCAATAATTGCCATAAGGTATTGTTTCCCTAGTTAGCAGGTAATCTATTAGTAAGTGTGAAAAGTTGAATAGATAACTAAAGTTTGAATTCTCCATCTAAGAATACGCTCGCCACCGCATCTCTGATCCCCCTGGGAGTTTCACAGGTTCCAATCCCATGCGGGGATAGTTATGTGCAAGGGGATTGCAGCTCTCCTCCCACTGAGGGTGGTTCACACGACCGCTGGTCGATTACGACATCCCCCACCATCAAGTCCATGCTTCTAAAACAAATAACTGGCTAACTAGTCCCGACATAGAATGGTAATCGTACGATGTTGCACCTTGCAATCTGTCCCCAACCACAGATAAATTCTATTCTAAAAACTACCCACATTGGTAGGCATAGTTGCATTTTAAATTGAAAGAAATCTTCATTAATGGTCAGAAGGTGTTGTCTGATTGTTTTATTAGTTAGCAGGTAATTTATTACTGATCTGATACACAAACTTGGCACTGTCAAATGATGATTAGTGTTTAATTTATTTTCAGGAAAAACGAAAGATAACCCTTTTTCAGCTGCTTATATGTCCCATCGATATTTGAATTTTCGCCATCTCCAGAGAGGAAGAGAATAGTTAGAAAAAGGGGGATTTTGAAGAAAGGCGAAAGGCAGGATCATTTCAACAAATTCTGTTAACTTGCATGCGTTGCAATATTACTTTACAGTTGTTAGCATAAACGTTTAATGTGTCTTTCAACTAGACCTACCACACTTTAAAAGAAGCCGCCTACACCCCTTTTCACTAGAACCATAATACTGTGAAATATTTGATAGAAATTACCCCCGAGGCATCCTATCTTCCATTTGGAAGGGCTGTGGAGGCAGATACATTTTTTACTCTAAATTATGGAATGTTACTTCCAGGTTATCTTATCCTTGCCTATAGATATCTTGAGGTCAGTGACTCCAACTGACCCATGCATGCCACACTGAAAATTCCCGTGTGTACCGATAAAATTAGGCTGTTGGAGCCTTCAGACCTTGAAAACAGTCGAATCTGAGCACGATGAATTTATGTGAAACACGTAATATGCATTTATAGGCAAAAATATCCCATCCTGAGCATCACCGATCCACAACCTCCTGCCTATGGAATCAAAACATTAGACAAATTGGTGTACTGTGCGCATTCACAAATCTTTGCGAATCAAGTGTGCCTTTTGACTAAAAAAAATTTAGCATTGAAATGGTCAATCTCAATATCAACCTAGTATCTGCAGATAAAACCAATTGTTTTTTAAAAATACATTTTTGATGTGCTTTATTTTTCAAATATAATTCATAATTACTGTAAAGTGTGTGATACATTTGGTACCATGAATACCATTTGCAAATTAGTTTGGGTTACACCCCTCTCAAATAAAAGTTCAGACTCTTAAGTCATATCTCATAATATTCTTTAAACAAAATGTTGCGGCTAGCCGGCTACCCATCAGAATTTTCTTTCAGATCACAAAGTCGCAACATTACGCCTCGCTAAGTTGCATTGGCAACTGTATCTGGTTGTAGTATCGGTGTCCAACTTTAGCCTAAAACCTTCACTACCAGACCCACCGAAACAATTTTTTTTTCTTGATAGGGTCGTCTTGAAGTTGCTTTCGTTAAAGCACAATGGACAGCCAGTTATTTGTTTTCAGAAGCATGGACTTGAATGGTGGGGAATGGTCGTAACCGATCAGCGGTCATGTGAACCACCCTCGGTGAGAGTAGAGCTGCAGTCCTCTCGCTCATAACTATCCCCGCATGAGATTGAAACCTGTGAAACTACCAGAGTGATCAGAGATGCGGTGGCGAACGTATTCCTAGATGGCGAATTCTGGGTATGGTTATTTTTCAGGCCCCACGGTGTTAAACTTTAGTTATCTATTCAACCTTTCACGCTTAGTAATAGATTACCTGCTAATTAGGGAAACATAGCAATTGATTATTAATTCCTTACTGTCTTACACAAGTTAAGTCTACAACTGCAAGTAGGCCCACGCCTAGGCCTACCAATAACAGTAGTTTGTCATCTGCTTTCCATTGAAATGAGGGAGCTTGTGAATATTTAAAGAAATTGATAACGGCACACTATCACCACATTATCACTCACCATCAACGAAGTGCTGTCCGCAAACAGTGAAACACAAGTGAGATGGCTTCTGGACTTGACACCAAGCAGTTCTGGCAATAGATGATATCCACATTGCGCGACGTTCCGGATCTTTTGAAATCATGGAATATAACTTAAGATCCATTTTGTTGTCTATATATTATACGTACAGCCAACGGAACAATACGAAATAACCATTTTCAACAGCCAAACAAAACGGAAACGTATAATCCGACTTGCAACTGACAGGAGCCATATGGACGTTTTTGTTTTATTGCCGTCCAGTAACAAAGTCACGTGACCCGTGCAAGTCCTCTATATATTGTATGTGTTTTCTAGTTTGACGAAACAATAAAATTCTCTCTTTAGTAGGCTATATATAATTTATGTTTGAAATTTAGATTTATTTATGACTTGTATTAACCCTATTAAAAAGGTTCAGCATTTAAATTGAGTAAAGTACTTTTAACTTGCTCAGGAATATTAATCTGAAGTAACAATTTTAACATTTATTTTGGGGCCCGTGAATAATAGTCAACCTTTTCAAGGGCTCCGCAGCAAAGCCCATATATACCGTTACCGCTCCGCAGCACCAAAAGTTTGAGAATCCCTGTTCAAATGAGTTGGCCGCGCGTGAAGTTTTCGCGCAAAAATACTTCCCTTCGATGAATTTAGTGGGCGGGAGGTCGGTCAAAGCAAAGTGACTAAAGGCTATAACCAAACTATAACCACTTTGGCTCAAATCACTGAAGCAGGTTGGGACTGTACCGGTCTTTTTATGAAGTTGGTTATTAATTTGGCCTGAATACGGTAGACTATATGGTTGTTTTTGATACTGTAGCAAGAATGGGAAGTGGGAGACTAGTGTTCACTGTATTAGGTATGGGCATATGGCATATGGTACCGGTACCGTACCGGTATGGTCCTAATTCCGTCGTTACGGTACGGTAACGTATGGTTTTTCAGTTTTTGTTCATATTTTAAACGATCATACATTACCGGTACGTTCAGTTCAACTAAACAAATTTAATGTCCCTTAACAAGTTGCAAAACTCTTGGATTCATACTTTTTTAATTAGATATTAACACCTTGGGTGTCGTGGCTCGATAACCTGTTTGGTTCCCCGCGACTTCCCTTCCCCAGTAAAACTGTGTAAATTCTATTTTTGTCGTAATTTATGATTGTTATATTTTTTACTGGTTGGAAAAAATAAACTTGACTTGACTATCACATGGTTGTTGGGAATTTTTTACTATTTGGGCCTCACTCAGAAAACTTTGTCAACCCCTGTCCTACAGCTTACTGGCTTACGATACCTCGACAATTACCGGTATTAGGTTAATTAGATTGTTCATATCTGAAACATGAAATAATGGAATTTACATTTGATATTCAGCAAACTGTATATCTGTATATGCTGATATATGATATTAAATGTTTTCTGTGGTTCGAAAAAGTTTTTACTCAATTAGATGATTACTGGATTAAACTATTTAGCTGTATCAGAATTTCTTATTGACAAATTACTTTTATTCAGAGCTATACGGTAACTGTATAATAAAAAAATTCAAAATGAGTTGCTTTGAATCTTGTGTTAAATGTCTTGGTCTGGTACCATGGGCATCTTTGATTGCTCTTGTTATCTGCTGGGCAGGAACAGCATTATTCTGTGGTACGGGGCATGAAGCTCTCACCCTATCATTAAAGGTGTTGGTGGATGCAAAAATTCCCGGATTTTCTCAAGGCACATCTAATATTGATGAAGTGTAAGTTGGAACAATGAAAAAACTTGTCTTCCCTATTACAGTATTAATTTCCAGTGTATATTTTTTACAATTTTTCAAAGATAACACTATTATAGTTGGAAAGTTTATCGATTCAGGTTCAATAAAATTAAAATTCTTTGATATTTGGAAAAAGTGATTCAGAATAATTACTATCAAATTAATGTCATTTTTCTGTGAAGTTCCATATTTTATAGTAAAATCCTGCTGTTTATTACCATTTTTCATTGATATTTGATATATGCCAGTTTTCTGCTGCGTAATGAATCAGTACAAATGATTTGAAATAAAAATTAACTATGAAAATTATCGAGAACTAATGAGATAAGAACATGCTTCATTATTGTTCAAAAGCTCTCGTCTATTCACAATTTCAGATTAATTGAAGAGATAAACATTAATATCGAATATTATAATTGAATAATTTTCATTCTTATTCAGGTTTCAAGCATTCAAATACGCTATATATGGTATTGCACCTTTCATGTTCATTTTAACAATCCTACTTCTGGTTGATGGAATACTGGCAACTAGAGCAGTCAAAAAGGAAATTGAATTTAGTTGTAAAACAAACAAATGTGGAATTTGTGCTGGAATTTTGGTAGGTAGTACCAGTAGTTAATGAATTTAATAACGACTCCACCAAGGTGGACCATCTACACTGTTGTTCTTTTTAATCTTTTCTACTAAATTGTTAATAAAACTACTATTTTTTGTCCGGAGATGTCCTCTTTTGTGTCAAAGATTATTTTATTCTCATGATCCGGATCCGGATTGTACAAAAATTAAGTCTCAATTGAAATTACACGTCTGACGTCTTATGAGTACCTACAAGTAGTTCGCATTCCTTACCAGCAAAACCAATGTCATTTTTTCAAATATCATTCTAAATTGCTTGCGTATTGTGATAATTTATTGAACAAAAAATCTTTAATCACTTGGAATAAGAATTAACTGAAAAGATATCCTACGGTATGTGACAATCTCCATAGAAACCAGCAAAATTTAATTTTTGAGTATACGTAATATTCATCAGTGTGGCTTGTTTTGTGGAAATAAATATGTTATAAATTAATATGGATTTTATTTTCATATAAAATTAAATGGAAAACAAATTCATCATATACCAAATTATTTTAATGTAGATAGGCTATCCCTTGTATAGGTGAATAGTTCTAATCTAATGGTGTAATTGCAATCAAATTGTTTAGTATTCAATTTATTGAGTTGTTGGATTCTTCAAAATAACTTAAAAATTCTGAACTATTTGTAATATAGGCCTATGTAATGCATAGGAAATATGCTTCTTTCTTTGTATATTTTTGTACATTGCTCAAATAGACCGCCTAAGGTTTTATAGGATTAAATTTTATTGTTTTCTTTATGTCTATGACTACTAACGTGTATGGTTTATATTAATTTTTCAAATAATTAAAGCCTGGAGGGTTCTAACAACAACCAGACTGGTTTTTGGACCTGATTTGTGCACGCATAAAATCTTAAATAAAATTGTGGTTATAATGTTTACATTAACAGGTGAACATTTTGAATTATACAGTATTTTAATATTTTTCAATAATAATAACCAATATTTTGGCTGTTTCATATAGCCTATTGATTATACCCTTCCGAATGTGCAATCTTTTCATTCTATTTGACTCGTAAAAAATATGTAAAATCACATTATTTGATGCGTCATGAAACGAAATAATATTGGAGAAATTATCATGAAACAATTCCAAATGGACATTTTTCGTTTAGGCTATCTTCAAGTAATACACAACCCTTGGTATGACAATTTCAGAGTCTAAAAAACAGGCTCATAGAAGCTGGTTGGATTCTGTCATATATTCACAGCATAAATTTTATATCTTTCCCATTTTCAGTATTCTGTGATAACATACCTCACATCTGTGGCTTGGTTGTTAATGTCTGTGTTTGCTGGTTTACCTATCTACTTTTTTCAAGTGTCAAATACACAATGTGGCATTGTTTTGGATCAACCAAGTTCAAACATTACTGGAGTATGTATTGATTTCGTCCAAGCAGGTATAAATTTTTTGTAACTATTTCTATACTTGATATTCAAATTTCAGCATGTAACAGCATTTCGTAGTTTACTAATAGAATTTTTTTCTCATATGCATATCCTTAGTGCAATTTTAATGCAACAGGGTCCATATTTGGGTGCTGTTGCCGTAGAATAATTCAATTTCAGTAATAATACTGTAAATTAAAGTTATATAATATGTCATATAATATTTTAAATGAGGAATGTGCAGATATTATTTAATACTCATTAGCAATGTTCCCTCTTATTTTTTGTAGTATGTGTGCGCAGAAATTTTGGTGTGTGCGCACTTTTTTGGAAATGACTAATATTTGTGCAAAAACCAATGAAGAAATTTTGGCGTTCTAACCGGGTAATGGGTGGGCCAACAGCAACAACAAACTTTCTCAACCTGCCAACCGAGAACATTGTTACATTACATTGAAATACGTCGGTGCGCAGTAAATCTATGCGTGTGCGCAGCCTCTGAAAGCTCTGTGTGCGCGCACACTTTAGAGGGAACACTGCTTATTAATTTGAGAGATTCACATATTTCTGATTAAAATCACAAAATTTTTATTGCTTTTTTGAATGTGATTTGGTAAGGTTTTGCTTCAAAGGCACATATTACCGTTCATAAAGTAAGTATTCATAAGTAATATTGATATATACCGTAGTATTGTCAATTTGTCATATAGGCTGGCCTACTCCAACAATGTTTTGTTTTCAATATTCTGAATTCTAATAATTTGTCTTTTGAAGTCTCATTTGATCATGATTTACCATATATATATTACTGGGTATATATGTTCATAAAAAGAAGTTTTTAACGAATGTTTTGAATTTGGGAAATATGGAGAGGAAGAATCTTCTGCTAAAGGCAAGTTTAAGAGTAAATTACACCACATTATGAGATATTCAAAGAAAGGGTTTAATTCCATCTATACCTGACAGCTGTTTGTAGAGCATTGTACCAGACAAAAGTGTAAGTAATAAAGTTTTGTAATTTACCTAAGACAACATGTATATATTATATTCAGGACTGATGCCTTACCAAAATGCTCCTGAAAACTATGGCAAACTTTGTGGGGAAGACTTGAAAACTGTCTGTGACAGTAATGATGTAAGTGCCACGATACAATTCAACTAATATTTTTAAGAAGTGCAGTATAAAGATTTGAGGTAAACCAAAATGATGGGAAAATCTGTTTAAAGCCTAATCCGAAAAATGGAAATTGGTACAGTTAACTAAAACTGAGTTTTAATTCAAAACGATAAAAAAATGTGCCTTGTTCATTCTATAGATTATAAAATTTTGTATCCAAATGCCAAATGCATAAACCTTCTTTGTAAAATTGTGAGTCAATGTACTCTGAAGATTATACTGATTCCTATAATATAATAAATCAATTTGTTCCAACCAATCTCTACGTAGTTGAAAGAAGAAACTGGAACTATCAGTTTTAGAGGAAGATATAAAAATTTGCCAAACTGATTAACAAAAGGAAAGTACCAAAAACTAAACAAACTAATATATATTTGTTTTCAGTACACATTAACATATCAGATGTTTTTGATTGCATTTGCTGGATCATGCATAGTTGTCTTAAGCTTGGTGAGTCCTTGATAATTATTTATCAAACTTGATTTTCTGATAGGTTTCCCTTCATGCATATTTACTTTGTAAAAGTGAAAATGGTTTGGTGGTTTGTCAAAGTTTATAGTTTCAGGATACTGTTTTACTTTAGCAAATAAAGTAGATAAAACCGTGACTGTAAGTGACAATACAACAGCACATTCTTGAGGGATACAAGTTTTACTGGTGAATAATTTACAAACTTTACAGGGTGGTCAATCAAGCATTGTCAGTCATACAGAAGTATTTTTACAAAGAATGGTCTTGATGTAATTGTAAATATTTATAGTTTTTTTTTTATTACAATTTTGGAGGAGGCACTTCATGGTACTTGCTTGATCAACAACTTATTTAAAAATACTCCATTCCAGTCCATTTGAAAATCAATTGAGCAATTACGATTTGACAAATTGCAAAAAAAACTATTTTTCGAACTATGCTCGACTGTCATTGATTTATGCTTAATTATATCTGTATGCCCTGGGGGCATCTTTTGCTTTTCAGTCCCATCATGAAATCTAGCGACTGTCAGTGCACTAAGATATATGTGCATATGCATTACTAATGTGCATAAAGGCAGTTTTTATAAATTTAGCATAGCTAGAGCAACACAATAAATTTCGGAAACATGAATTTTTGCTGCCAGTTTCAAACTGAAAATGGATTTTATTGCTTTACTAGACATTTGGATTTTTTTTACCAGATTTTGGCTAAAGTTTCAAAATCTTCAAATTTCATAATATTTTTCCATAAATTTTGCGATTTAGGAATCTATAGGCTTTAATAAGATATCAGATCACTTCGTATCAACTTGAAACAAGCATAAAAATTGCCTGATTTTAGTTTTTGGCAATTATTTTCCTAAACACAGCGAAGAAACGCTGACAAATTTTTTCGCAAATGCTCCATCATGGACCCAATTTGTCGAATCCACTATTGCGTCAAAATTGTCTAAATAATTTACCATTTGAGTTTGACTTCATTCGCTTATTCTAGAGATTTGGATTGCCTCTGCCACACTATGTTATTAGAGTACAGTCCATGGGTTTTCTATGATATTTGTGATATAATGATGGTATATTGCAGATGCATACTGAACTATGAAAATTTTCAGAAACATTTCCTGATGGCTCTCTCTGCAAATTTTGCCTATATCAAGATGTCTCGAAAATTAGCAGATTATCAAAATACCAAATACCAGGAAGAAATGGAATTGAACGACATCATTAATACTGCCCGTTCGAATGAAAGGCTGACTTACAAATATTAATCTCAGCATTCAAGAATAAATGGTGTAGACAAGCATTTGATTTTCGTCAACATACTTTTTCTGTAAAAACTTTTACACTTTTTTTCGTTTCAAGAAATATGACATTGTTCTATATTGCTGCTGGCTTTATGTGAATGAATAAAGTTGCAATTGAATATCATTACTATTCAGAGGAACAAAAATTTAATGCCAAATTGTGATTTCCATGAATGTTTTATTGCATCATAACCAATGCTCAATTAAATTGTGAAGTCTTGCCTTATATCCGAATACTATGGTGCTTATTAAAATAGACTTTTTTAAATTGATCGTTAGGTCATTTTTTTGTGTGTGAATTTGCTATAAATCCTCTGCATTGCAAGATGCTCTATTTTCTTTTATACTGGTACATTTATGATTTCTAAATTTTTTATTACAAATTTGTAAAATTCAAACTAGAATTACTTAATTCAAATTGTTTGTGTCATTTTGCTTCACACATATTTTTGCTGCTTATTAAAATGCATTATCATGACCTTTTTAATTAAATTATCAACTACAATGAACTTCTTACAATTAACAAAGATAATAATAATAGCATATATGATCAAATGTGTTTATTGAATCAAATGTCAATGTATAGGCCTTATTCACTTAAAACATTATTACCATTCGATACGACTTGATAAATTGATGATACTTTTACCTTAAACATTTCAAAAAGTCTGTTCTAGAAACAGTCCTAGGTTCCTAAACCTTGAGTATCATGAAGATTGTTTAGAATGCGGTTTAATGATATGATAATCCCCTTGAGATGGATGGCCAAATCATTTTATTGATTGCATACTTTTGCTTGATTCACTCTTTTTATAAGCCAGACCATTTATTTCAGTACAGTTTGACTCTTGCCAACCCTTATGTATATCTGGTTTGGGAATAAATGGTGAATCTTTTTCATCTATATGTATAAATTCATTGATTTCTCTACTAAACGTACTATTTTTTCTTATATGAATACTATAGAAATGATGAAGTAAATAAAAATGTGAAATCCTGAGCTTCTGTGCGTTATGCACAGATTATCCATCACAGAAAAATATAGAAACATTTTTTCCCTTCAATCCATTTCTTTGTATTCAGAACATTGGCACAATTAATATGTGCCAAGGTGCAGTTTTTTCTCAGGGTAAAATACTTTAAAAGTAAATTTTTCGTAAATAATATTGTTATATCAACCAATATACTAGTAGATATATAGTGAATAGAATGTATAGATATAGTATATTTATTGCTGCCGCCTGTTAACAGTTAATTGAGATCAAATTTCTATTTTTTCTGACGAATTTAGATCCAAAGTCTAAATGAATATTTGCAATAAATCATGATATAACCATTTATGAGACTTCCCAGCAAGTGGCCTTTATTTGGATGTGTCAGTACCCTTTTACTCAAAAGCTTCACTATTATAATTTGATAATTTCTGCAATTTTACCATTCAAGGTGTATGACACAATCACAAATCTAGTTTTATCATTGTGGGATGATATGTTTCATTGCAATGCAGTCGGTGTATATCTCACTGAGTGAAACCAATTGGTAAAGTCGGCCAGTTGAAGGTCTTGACTCTTGTGCATCTTTGTACCAAAACTTCAACAGTTTGGGCGATATCTAATTTTTGTTAATATTTATAATGATATTTTACTTTACTTGGTTAAAGAATTGATACTTTCTGTATTTGCATTACCTCTCAGTGCCTATATTGTTACACTAGTAGAACATCCCAAACAGTAGTTATATGTTTGTTTATTCCAAAGAGTATAAAATTGATAGTGCATACTTATTTCGCACCCGTTTCATCTTTCATGGTTTAAACCCCAACACTTCAAACCAAGTAAAGAATGATACAATGAATTCCTGCCAGTGATAAGTTTTTATTAATTCCGGCGATAAAAAATGACTTCTATTCTAGTGATACTCTTTTGTTTTGATATACAACGTGAAGATTTGGTCAGCTTACATCGTAGTCTCTGGTGAGCTCTGCCAGACACTTTTGAAGTAAATCTTCCCACCTTTCGAATTTCATCCTTTCTCCCATCATGTTATTCGCACAATTTTTTTTCTTTCCTCATGGTTTACTTTTAGCAGTGATCACTGGGTGCTTTTTATTAAATTGAAATGTTTACCTTACATCCATTATTACACCGACTGGTGCTTGTTTAATGATCAATTCTATATTTAGTTTTTAAATTCTCATTATAAAGAGTATAGTATATAGATCTATAGAAATCGAATCTAGAAATATTGTGATATCATCTTTTTATATTCTGCATGTTTACATGCAACATTTTTGGCATTTTACAATCTGGTACTATTAGTTGTTTATATATATATATATTACATATCATTAGTATTCGGTGCTCAATTTAACATTGTGCCATATTTTTTTTTTCCGATTTTTTTTATTAGGAGTATAGTGATATAGAGTTGCCAGGCAACAACAACAACTTTGCATCCTTCATTATTCAGCAAAATAAAATTTGGCATGAGTCAATTTTGTTGTGGCGACAAATGTTAATAACAAAGATAACAATTTTGTGGAAGTTGTAAATTTTACTACACTTTTTCTGAAAATAAATGTCTCGATGGAGATTTAGTTGCTAACTCTGTTTATTACTGTCAAAAAAACATTGTGCACTTATATGAAGATGGCTTGCCTTGTTTTTTTTTCATATTACATGTATGACAAAGTCCTGGTATAACGTAAAAGGGATCTGATTACAAGTGGTATTATGATGAACAAATGAATTCAACTGGTCTGCCATTGACACTTTTCTAATCAGCTATCTTTGTGAGATCGAAAATCATATTTTGTAACTTGCATGGATGTACTCTTTGGATAGTTTTTCTGCATCATATAAAAAACATTCGTCGTTTCCTTCTCAAACTTATCGTTTTAAGAATTCAATTCAATTTCTGTACTTTGTGCCTATATATTGCCTTTATCTTGTCATTTAATAAGCTGCTCATTTATTCAGCTGCGCATTGTCTTACTGTTCAGAAGGGGAGTTTTCTCCAGTAAAGTGGACTAATATTTGCTACAAAATGTGTTTTAAAGTACCTTTTAATAGATGTCGATATAGGTAATATGGCTTCTGGAGAAATAAATTCGAAACTCATACTCGTGTTGTAATATACTTTGCGTTTCTATTGCATGTTGGCGTGTCGTATTTTTTGGGTGACATCAACGAAAGGGGGAAAAAAGTATGTATATGTGTGCAAATGAGTGGTGGGATTCAGCCGGTTCTTTTGAACCGTCTCACGGAATTTTATGAGATCAGCGAACCGGTTAGCATTACTGGTTACTGTCAATGGTATGTTTGTAACAGAACCGGCTAAAAAATATGACTTTTGTGAAGGAACCGGTGTACAAAACATTTGAATCAGACCACTGCATGTAGGCCTATCGTTGGCCCTTAAAAATGACAAACTTTTTGAAAATTATTGTAATTGACTCAACAATTTCATCACAAGTCGCGGCTTACCACGAAGGAACAAGGGGATCGAATGTTAAACGAAGTTGTAGCCGCTCCATGTACGAAATTTGGTATTCAGCGACCAGGCGTATTTTATATCTGACGCGCCAAGTTAGCTCTGTTGGAACAGTTGCGCATTTAGCGTATAGAAGTCTGTTTCTTGGAGTTGGGTAAAACTTCTGACTCGATTTCGATATATTTATGCAACTACATAAGCTACCAAATAAATACCCGGTGGGCATTGGCCTCAGCTACTTTGATTTTTATGATATGATCATAGCCATTATATAATGACTCTGATATGATTATAGAGGGTTAACATTCTCTGTGATATAATAACGTATCCATATTTGTGAGAGTTGCAAATGCCACGAGCTAAATTAACAGCAACTGTGTGTACAGATATGAATTCTTTATAAAAAAATTAGATATTTCAGATAAAATTACCTCATTCTGAAATTTGTTACTTTATTCGGTGACTCTCGACACCACCCGAACACGTCAATTTGTTGACTCTTGGCTCTGTTTTGTATTGCTTCTGTGCTTGGATCGCTAAAGTTATATTGATATTTTTTCTCTTGCCATTTATAAAGAAATGTCGGACTTTCAGGAAATAAGCTACGATAATCCTGTAGACGGAGATATTTCAGTTCCAATACAGCAACCAGAAGACGATTTAGATGAATTGTCAACATTGGACGAGCCTGTTAGAGTCACATTTGTGAGTACCAACTCACTATACTGCTGTAACTGTTAACACTTTATTTTTAAATGATGGGCTACTACATAGTTAAGTATTAATATATAATTTCTGGGATCTATGATTGCTCTAGTGCTAAGCTATGTTTGTATGTGCAGATGTTTTAGGGAGGTGTAGCCAGTCTGCGGACGATTTCATTCAAACCGCTATAAAACAAAAACCAATATTTCTAACTCATTAATTTTTTCGTAGTATGTGCATTGGCATTTATTCAACACGCTAAACCTCGAATTAACTTTCTACAACCAGGGGTTAAAGCTACACAAACCACCAAAGTATGACACTCGGGAGACGTATTTGCGACCGAATGACCAGTGTGCGACCACGGATTTCAAGCCTTGAACATTGTTTCTGCTGCGTCAAGACTAGAGCATAGGCAGCAATGCGTGAAAAAATTGGGCTTCTAATTGCATTTCTGACAGTCATATATTTTAAGAACACGGTCATTTCGAACAAAACTCGTCAAATTATATACAAAGCACCGCATCACAGCAATCAAACAGACAAAAACACGGTGGTCGCAAATTGGTCGACAAAGATATTATCGGCGTATTGGAAATGCGCACCCCCCTATTTTCCCTCCTTTAAATGTAGAAATGCGAAAATTTAAAGATGGTTAAAAGAAACACAACTCTACCCCCTTGCCAAGTTTCATCTTTTTATCTCTTATATTTGTATGGATTTTCAAATTTTTTAATGGGACAATGGGTAATGGCGACATGAAAAAATGATTCATTTTTTTTTCGGTCGGGTTTTCAATCGCAACTTTTTTGTTTGTGGCCGCATTTTAGTGTAATTTCGCAGAGCTATTAGGGACAAGTGGACGATAACGTTTGAGAAATACCGTCGCGTTTCGTTAATTTTTTTGGCATTAATTAGATCGATGAAGTTGATGGCCGCAATTAGGTCGTGGCCGCAAAGTGGGTAAGCCAACCTAGATCTGTAAATGTCCCAACATCTTCATTATAATCTATATAACTTTTGTTCTAATACAGTTAGCTAACGCTTACAAGATCAATTTTTTCATGATAGATGCTGATTCTAAAATTATTGTTTTCTAGATGAGAGATTTCAAAGCTATCGGTAGCAAATTTGTCCATGTTGTTTATCCAAAGAAAGACAAAACCTTACTCAGGGATTGTGAGTATTTTTGAAATGTGTTATTAATAGTTGCTATATCTATATTCATTCAACTTATACGTAGGTATGATAAAGTCAGGGAGATCGTAATTTGAAAGTTTGCAATTTTCAAGATATTTATGGATTTATT